ATAAATTAAAATTCTCAGTACCCACCCTTCATGTGCATGTGTAATCATACTTAAACGCGTCACACGAAAACTTTGTCTGCTCTCACTAATATATATATATATATATATATATATATATATATATATATATATATATATATATATATATATATATATAAGTGAACATAGAATTCAACACTTAGAGGCGACAGTCTGTTTCATGCTAGATGCAATCGTCAGGCCACGAGTATATATATATATATAATTCAAATAGTTTTAGAAATCGAAATAGCTGTTTTCTGTTAACCGATTCATTATGGAAATAACTAATATTTTCGATATGAAATGAAGTGAAGGAACGAACAGATTTGTTTTCATTATTAGCAATTCTAGTCTTGATAATTTTAATGAACGACATTTTTCTTTTGCGAAGAACACGAAGATCACGTTTCCCTGTCGTACAAGAAATTTTCCGAACGTCCGTAACCAGTTTTCAAAGAGTTATACTTTAAATAATTTATTCGAATGTTTTTGGGGTTTTTTTTTATCTCAGAAATATAGACAGACACAGAATTTTCTTTTTGTTTTATTTCTTGTTCTTTGTTTTTCTTCATATTTCTGTCTGCTACGAATATGAAAATATTCTTCATCGTCACTAATTTTTTTCTTAATTTACAAAAAGAACGTAATTCCGTTAAAAAAGTAAATAATGCTGACTTCAGATCTTTCCGGCGATTTCATTAACTTCTGTCTTTCTTTCCTGAGCGGCGATCATATTCGATGTCTTTCATATGAATCGAATTATCTTGCTAGAAAACAAATGAAACGACAGTGAGACCATTTTAACGCCAGTATGGTTAATTGCTCCAAATTTAGATTTTCAAACAAAGCATTTTTATCCATATCCAAAATTAGTGTATCATTTTGCATTATTTTTTTCAAATTTGTAAACATTTGCTGGAAATCTCTAATAAAAATATTTATTATCAAACATGTCTAATCTCGACTATTTTTGTTTCTTTTGATTTTTGGTGTAGACTCATTTCCTTCCAAGAGTCCTAAGGTCAGAAATGTGATCACGATTTTTTCCATTGAAAAGTTTTTAATAAAAAACTAAGATCACAGATATTTTACATAGATAAGGCCCTTCGTAAGGTGTGAGCTGTACTTGTGAGTACAATTTTTGTATTTCTTTAAGTCTTCAGCTACCAGGATTGTTGATGTCCATATGTGCCACATTTTTGAGATTTCGATTTCAAGGTCCTTGTATTTTGATAGTATTTTGGGACATTCAAAGATACAATATTGTCCGCATAAAACTGTTACAGGTCCTATGTCTGTAACCCAGTCTGGGTGGTGTTCATACCAATTTCTTGCAGTTTCTTTTCCGTAAAATTTCCCAAATGCAGATATATCGGCCACTGTGTCATGTCAATCATGTGCAACTTGATACAAGATGGTCAGATGTTTTGGGATATTTATCACAGAATCTACATTTGAGGCTAACACTATTTTTCAGTATGTGTATTTGGTAATTTCTAGTTAGCAAGCATTAGTTCCTCGGTTTCAGCTTCTTACCCTGAACTATGTAGCCCCACTGATCGATACGGTATTTGCTTACATAATCTTGTGTGTTACGAACAGAATATTGAACATCAAGAGGCTTATCTTGCCATCATTTCTGCACCTTGTAAATTGAATTTGTTTTCTTCTTGAAGTCTTTTCTGCTGCATTAGGTGCATTATATTTTAATTGCATTTCTTCACCCATTTGCAATTTCATTTTGAATTTGTTGGCTTCCTGAATACAGTCTCTTACATATTCATGCCCATTAACACAGATCATGATCAAGTCTTCTGTAGTTTCATGGTATCTTTGAAGGCCGATAGTTGTGGTTTTGTATGACATTTTTAGTTGAACTAATCCTCTGTCTCCTTTGGGTCTGGACACATAGGGAAGTGCTACTTTAAAGCAAATCCTCCGTTTGCTGGTAGCTGCATATGGAATTTTAGTGTGCTAATCTGGCCATGTTCTTTTTGACGAAATTTTTGAGTGGAAAGTGTAATTATTATTATTATTATTATTATTATTATTATTATTATTGTTGTTGTTGTTATTTTGTAAATATAAAATATTCGACCTAATTTAAATGTATAAGACTCGTCAAAGATATCTTGCCAATGCTTCGAAACAGTTTTCAGATAATCGTTATGTAAAGTTTAGTTTTATCTTCTAATATTTCTTATACATAAACAGTTGTGTAAACTGTCTTTATCCACATCTGTATTGATTTTCATTCAATGTAAATATTATACAAACAACAATATATATAGAAAAGCATTTCGAAAACAATTCACTATTATTCATTTATGAAAATGGTGAGTAACATATTCTTTATTTAGGGTTTTTCGAAACGCTACATTAATTTATATTGCGTTTCGATTCTTTGTTTTTGAATTGGATTGTTTTATTTTTTGGGGTTTTTTGGGGGGATTTTGTTTTTGTTTTTTTGGTCGAAGCACAAACACCAATTTACTCAAACTAAACAAACAGTTTCAATGGTTGTGGCGGCAAAGTACTAAATCAAGTACTTCTTCAAATAGGCAAAGCACAAAACTCTTCAAACACTAGTATTTCTAATAAAAGTGCCAGATGCCCAACTACACGGCTATGTGCTTCCGGGAGTTAATGTTCGATTATTCTGGGCATTTAATAGATAGTAACCAAAACAAAGCTTGCAAATCGGCCAGTATCAGAAAAAGGATTTTTATGTGACTGATTTTGCGTCCCACACAAAGTTGACAATTTTAAAGCTGATGTCAAGGGAAATTACGTTCTGAAGATCTTGGGAGAAAGAACTCGTTGGAAACTGGTACCTTTCTCTATTGACAACTCCTAATTAAGGATTATTTGCCTAATGATACCTTGTGGGTCCTGTTGACGAAAGTATTTGTATACAAGTTTTTGAAAATAGGAACGTCTATGAGGAAATATAAATTCTGTTAAATGAGCCGTAATTCATACATCAAAATGTGGCTGCTATGTTTTGGAGATCAAAAATAATTCATAAAAAAATATATATATATATATATATATATATATATATATATATATATATATATATATATATATATTTCAAAATCAGTTATTATTCTTCAATAAAAAATATGCAGTGACTATTGATTTACCTAACCTTTGAATAACATTGTACATTAATCAGTCCACGTTTAACTTTGTAAATGAAGAATAATAAATTGAAATACCTAATAGTTCACAAAACGAGCTATTTTGTAAGCAATGTCTTTTTCTACTATGAAGATCAGCATTGTTCAGATTTTTTCGTACTCTAGATATATGCACATTGATTCCGACATTGGCCAGTGAGTATTGGAAAACCGCAAAGTCAGCGACAGTTTTTACCTGGGCTTGTCGAACTAGATGTCTACTTAATATTATTTTTAGCGGACGGACGTTTCTTGATTGTGATGGCGTCATACCAAAGTCATTCCATTTATAAATAATTTGTTCCACGGTGAAGACGTTCATTTCAAATTATTTTTTATAGCTTTTTGTAGCCTTCTCCACCATTATAGATTTCATCTATACGATTTTATTATGCTTCAAGAAATTATTTTGATATTTGTATATATATATATTTTAAAAATTTAGTCTCTAACTGTACACTTTTCCATACGCAATGAGCTACATTGTTTGACTGCTGTATACACAGTTTACCAAAAAAATGAACATGTGCCATTTTGATTTTTACATGTGCACAAATAATTATTTACACTGGCAACCATGTAAAGCAAAAATAAAGAGTGCAAATCTAAGGGTTCACTTAATTCTGAACGTTTATATTTTGTCTGTCTATATTTCTGAGATGAGGTATTATGTATATTATTTATATTATTCGGACTATTGTCGTCGTCTTTGTCGCCATATTTATCACAACGTTTCGGCCGTTGTACGCCCCGGACTTCTTCAGGTGGTTGGAATTTCCTCAAGGACACATGGCACAGTGGATAAAGGCGTTGGTTAGATCCAGTGACAGGACCCAAATAGTGTGAGTTCAATACCCGGTTAAGGCAGTGGAGAACTTTCAGAGGGAAATTAGCAGGAGATAACTAATAACTGACATCCATCAAACATGGCACGTGGAACTAGAACAGTCTACTCCAGTGAGCAAAATAAAGGGTTCAGTTCGAAATTCCAACCACCTGAAGAAGTCCGGAGCGTACAACGGCCGAAACGTTGTGATAAATATGGCGACAAAGATGAGGACAATAGTCCGAATAATGTTTTAATTGTTAATTAATATTTTTATTCTAGCTTGTTAAAAATTTTTGAAAGTGGTTGCAGTTTATTTAATATATGTTTTTTTCTTAATGAATACATAGTTTAATTAAGATTTGGAAAAAAAAGTGACAATTTTTTAGGTATTATTTTGCACAGCGCTGTATGTCCATGATGAACATCAAATTTTGTTCTACACAATTATATTTATATATAATTGTTTAATTATAGCTAAGACTGAACAGCTAATGTTATGGCTAAGTCTAAGATTGAACCGATTGAAACGTCGTAAATAAAGGAAATAAAAGATGCTGACAATTAAACACTCAGTAAATAATTAAATTAAATATGCGCCAAATATCAGACAAAACTAAATATCTCATTTACAAATATTTTTAATACTATTATGACAATGGCAGTAATTATCCATGACGATTACGAAGGAGATAAATTATTTCGCACTGTGACATTATTTCGAATCAGTGAATATGTGTGAATGATTATCATTTAATGATCCGAATAGCTCTGTACTTTTGTGTTATAAAAGCATCAAAACTTTATTACCACAAAACTGTTTAACTTGTAGAATAAAGTAATTTCTCGTCCAATCCTGCCACGAGTTTTCAAATATTTTTTACTGAGGCAGAATTTTACAAAGCGCATATGTCCAAGGAACAGGTCTGATAATTGCTAATTACATAGACATTTCTTTTGACTTAAAGGCTTACGGCTACATCGAGTTGATACACAGGTTCCTGTACGATCACCGAAGTTAAGCTACGTGGAGCCTGGTCAGTAACTTGATGATAGACCGCTTGGAAATATCGGGTGTTGTAATCTTGGATGTGCCGGTGGCGTAAGGAATAATGGCTCGGAATTGTTAATCGTAGAGCCGAGTTCCAATTCCGGGTGTGTTCGTTATATCCACTTACCCTTGCGAGAGGTATGAATCCACCTCTTTTCCTCCCAGCTTTGTGTTAACTAGTACGTCTTGTATTGCTAAATCATCATTGTCACCCCCAAAACAAAAATTCTTACAATCTAAAAATATATCCTGGCTTAAAATAACCTGCAGTTTTGATAGACCGTAAAAAACGAATAAATTAATCATACTTTTAACTTGACTCTCAGTGACGATACTCTAATAATAATAACTAAACTCAGTGATAATCATTTGTAAATAATTATTATATTAATTCTGCAAATTTGAAATTGAGAGAAGGTCAGTCACGACAATAATTGTTGGAAAACGCAGGATTGTTAAATAAGGATAATTATAAAGCCGCACTAATAATGATAGCGCCGTGTATCTGTACAGAATATTATGTATGGTATAGTATTACTTAATAATATAACACAGATATTTTAGTTCTCAAGATAATTGCTGTCTTCTTTATGGATACCAAATAATGAGTAATCTTCGTAAAAGTGTAAACAGTTGAAAAGCAATTAGAAAATAAAGCAGCAGTGACACTTGGGCATGGGAATAAATTGTGAACAGAGATTTGGTTTGTCATATCTCGTAAATTATTCTTACTAATGAATGCACGCTTCTAATCATACGGCCGTTAGTCTCAACCCACATCTTTTTAATGCCTGATGCAGTCTCTCTCATCAGGATTTATTCTTTATTTTTAACATGTCCAACTAAAGTCCTTCTTTTTTTTTTAATCAATGTAACTTGTAAGGCAGCCGTGTGCATAGTAAAACAGGAATTTGACAATGACGTAAGCTCCACCACATAACGTATGGATAATAAATTATTAAAATGCGGTTGCTAATAGCTTTTCTATAAGAGAAGAAACATGTTTCAAACGCATACACAAATGGAAATGAATAAATACATACAAATATTTATTTTTTTAATTTTATTTTAATCGGAATCAACCCAAACACGTTAGTAATGCCGCTAAAACACAAGGGGTTACAGTGTATGGAAGAATTAGGAATAGAAAAATTAATGATGAGCAGAAAGAGAAGAGAGTAATCAGGTGGACTGTAGATAGCGACTGACATTTCATTTTTGTAGATTAAAATTGGCTGGAAATCGTGGAGTTGGAAGGGAGTTCCACACGGAGAAATGCGAGGGAAAAAACTGCTAGCATAGAACTTACGGCTACATCTAGCCAGCTCAACTATAAATTGATGAAATCTCGACGCTTAAATTCATAAGATCTAGGCACCATAGCGAAGAACTATTAATGGATTTTCGCTGATGTTGATCCTCATTGAGTGCCTATTGGGGTAGCTTTGTGCCAAACGACGTAAAGTATAGTAAATAAATTTATATTTACTTATATATTGAAATATACACATGATCATTAAATATACTCACGGTCATTAAATATACCCACAGTCATTAAATATACACAAGATCATTAAATTCAAAAATATGTTTATGTGAAATTATAATATTTCAATCAACACCTGTGCGATTTAGTTTCAATATGTAGATAAATTAGATAGATACATTGATGCTTTTTACTATTCAAATATTGAGTGGCTTTGTGGCAATTAGTAATTGGTGGAAAATTTAATCATTTTTATGACTCTGAATTTTAGTCACAACGCTGCCAAAAAATAACATCCGAGGGCATAATTTTGGTCCTTTTAAAAATTAGTGAAAATGAATAAAAATAGCACACATTGATTTATCCCTCAACAATATGGGAATGTAATTTTAGACATTAATTAATAGGTTGAAATTCACGAGACAACAGCAAGAAGTAAAGCACTGAACCAAGTTTATACTACAGATTAAAAAAACGTATGTCTATATCTCTGAGATGAGGTAGAGTAACTTTTTTCCACTATTCGGACTGTTGTCCTCATCTTTATTGTCATATTCACGACGTTTCGGCCGTTCTACGTTCTGGCCTTCTTTAGATAATATACGTTGGAATTTCGAACCGAAAACTTTATTTCGTCCACCGGAGTAGATTGTTCAAGTTCCACGTGCCATGCCTTATTATCAATAGTTGTAATTATGATTAATATTCGTTTCCAATCACAGAGACTATGTATTTTTGCATTTTTTTTTACGGTAATGCCCAATCTTTATAAGGTTAAACCTGGCGGAACCAAGGAATTTAGTTCTTCCGAGCAATTTCCATGGTAGTAGCGATAGATCAGTAAGATACTCGCCACATCCTGCCTGTCAGAGAGAGGCGGGAGGGTAGAAAATAATAATTCTTCATGCTTTTGAATTGAAAATGAGGACTGGGCAGCTTCCGCCCAAATATGGCAACAGTATTCTGTTTTGGTTTTGATCTGAGGATAGCATCAGGAATCAGGTATTTACTGGATCGGTACAGGCAGACGATTTACCTGTATCTTTAGTGATGGATCGTATATATGAGTTACAATTAAGGTTGGGTGTGAGTTTGAGGCCCATTATTCTCTTATGGCATGGTGACTCTTCGTGGGGGACATAACAATTTACTTGGAATAGGCTTAGTTAGTATACAAATTAATATAGATACAATAGTGTGGAAAGAAAGCTTTAGCTGATAAATATTGTCCCCGATCTCTCTCTAAGTTCATTTTTCTCAGATGTCATTTTCTATACCATCTTTATAGGTTGTAGTCTCGCAAACATAATGAGAATTTATGAGCTGTTTCGGTTTTATTTTTTTGGCTACACACATAGAAAGATTAATTTTGTAACTGTAGAGACGGCTACACGTCGAAGACCAAAGTATAATTTTAGGTTGGTAAAGAATTTGGAATATTGATCAAATCAATGAATAGAGACGCTGGCAAAAACATATTTGACATAAATGAAAAAATGTCCTACTTGGCGTCTGTTATTTAAAAACTACAACAATACCTTGTCTATGTATAACTATCAATAATTATGTGTTATTTAAAAAAAAAAACATATTATTATACTGAGTATGTATGAGTTAAATTTGTATATACGCCGACAGCCGAAGGCGCATTGGACTAACAAAAGATGCCTTGCAAAAACTAACAGTACAGAAAAAAATCCTTACAAAGAAAAAGTGCTCAAGTGCTATATAACATCAATTCTGTATAACAGTAGATGCTGGACAATTTCCTCACAGATGAAAAGAATACTTGAGGCAATAGAAATGCTGAGAATAACATAAACGATGCATGTAAACATTTAGGAAGTTTTAAGTAAAATGGGAACAAAGAGGTCATTTTATTTAGATTCATAAAGAGACCGTTAAAATTTCTGTAATACAGAATGAGGAAAGACAGCATGGGAAATATTGACACTCACAGGACATATTGAAAACAAGTGGGACAAAGGAAGACAACAAGTAACGCATCTAACGAGTTTGTGTAAATGGATGGCAAAACAGTGAAAGGATAATAAGAAAACAAATATTGCTAAGAGCTACAAAGAATAGAAAGTTATCGAGAGCGATTATCGCCTAAGTCTTAAAGGGACACGCCACATGAAATAATATGCGTTAATCTGGTCGACTGTCTGTAAGATATTGCGTAAATAGATATTTGTTTGCCAAGAGCTAGTCTTATCTATAGCTTTCGAATTATTCCCCTTAATAACGAGTACAGTAAAGGCACAAAAGTTAATTCTCAAAAAATAGAAGCAGCCAAAATTTGTTCTACCTTGTGTTGTCCAGGTTCCGTGAGCATTGACTAAATTTTATACTAACATTCACTAAATAAATTCTTCGGGAGCCACTTAAGATAGAGGGTTACATTTATATTTATAAGTCTACCATTCGTCCATACTTAAAATATTGCTGAAACATATGTTCCGGGGATCCTTCTATTTACCCTGCTCTCCTTGATAAAATCCAAAGAAGAATCAGGAATATTATCGGTCTTGGCCTGGCGACTCGGATTCAGCCACTTTCCAATTGCCTCTCTGTCTTTTCAATAAATACTTACATGATAATTGTTCTGATGAGTTATTCGCTATGGGACTGAGATTTTTTGAATTTAAGCGATAAAGTGACATCGAGATCTCATCAATTTACAGTTGGGTTGGCTAGATGTAGTTGTAAAGTGTATGCTAAGAGTTTCTTTACTCGCACTTCTTGCTTGTGGGACTGCCTTCTTGGCACCATTCTTTTTAGCCAACTTCAATTTTAAAAAATTAAATGCAATGTCAATCGCTATCTACAGTCCTCCTGATTACTCTTTCCTTTTTTCACTCAGTATTAATGTTTCTGTTCCTAATTCTTCCACACCTTGTAACTCCTTGTGTCTTAGTGGCTTTAATGCCTTGCATGAGGCGATACCGATGAGAAAAAACGTTTATGATAAATGTGGTGGGATGCAGACGATAGAGGTGCGAGGAATCGAAGATTATGAGTCTAGGGAAAATAGATGACATAATTAAAAGAAAAAAAAAACTTGTAGTTCCAACGAATGATTTATTTTATGGAAATATTTCGACTAGCTCTTGTTAGTCTTGGTCACTCCTTAATTTCAGTAAAACAGTGGGAAAAAAAACAAACTAGAAACGCTTAAGAATTCAAATCAAGGAAAAAGACCGAATTGATGACGTTTACAAAGTAAGAGCAAGTTGAGGCGTAAAAAAAAACTACCAACAGAGACAAGCATCCAAAACTTTGAAGATAGATTACGTTTGCTACTTGACAAATGTCTCATATAATGAAAACATCTTTTTATTCTGACATTTGTTGGACAAACATGCAGACACACACACGGTATGCACGTTTAATTATTTAATAAAATCGCAGCATTAATGGCATATTGCGGCCAGAACCAATGCCATATTTATCCCAGGAGTAATGCCTTAATATCTGAATATAGTAAATATATTGATATAGACAAATAGACAGACAAATGGCAAAGTTCTCCCTACTGACCTAT